TCAATGTTAAACATCAAATACCAAAACTAAGAGCACCAGAAATCTGCAAATGGGAACATGTGGCACCTTGCCAAAGAAATCAATTACAAACTATGTTTTAACAGTTTTATGTGACAGACTAATTATTGTTCAATGGAAGAGAAGTTCAAAATTAAGAAATTCAAAATTTGTCTTTGTGACAAATGATGTGAGCATCATCTTTCAGGTCTTACCTTAGATCTCAATCAGATTTGACTAGTCATTTTAACACATCCCAAATCTTTTTCAAAAAAGCTTCTTAGAATTTTCTGATATTGGTGTCTGGCTCTCAATGGAGCAGGCGATAGAATTTCACTGACAGTCGACATTCAGACCAGTTATGGCCACAAGATGCAGATAGCATGTTAGACTGCTGGACAGTCTAAGATGCAGAGAATAAGACTGCAGATACGACCAGCTGAAAATTAGCTTCCTTCACAGGGTGACCGGACTCAACCGATGGGATTGGATGAAGAATCTGGAGTAAAGTTGCTGAAGTAAAGCCTGAAGAGCTAAACATGTAGCTCCCCTCTAAAACTATCCTATAACAACCTATTTTAATGGTTCAAAAAGCAAATATACCTTTGGAAACCTTAGCATTGTAGAGGCTAACATCCATGGTATTTCTTAGCTCCATTTTTGATGACAAATCCAATCAATGCCAAAAGAAATTAATGGTGCACAAGGATTGGCTGGTTTTCAAGTAGTGTTGCTTCTAGGTATTTCAGCTTCCCAAACTGCATTTTCTTGACATCGCTCTAAGAAAAAAAAATCTGTGAATAGACAAGTTTTCAGTAACTTGGAGTTACTGAAACTCCAAGTTTCAAAACAATTTGCAATTAGATGAATTAAGAAAAACTGAACCACGGATAGGCAGGAGTCTACTGTACATCTGAAAAAGCTACAGTTTATATTTGACTTTATTAGCTATTAGAATGAACATCAGTGGCGACTCAAAAATGTGACTTGAAGAAAACTCTTGAGTCAATTTAAGATCCTTGACGAGAGAAGAAAAAAAACAAAACAAAACTTAACTAAAGGAGGTAATTGTGCTTATTAGAGGGCACATTCAGCGGGAGGATGGAGAAAAGAAGGGGGAGAGGGAGTCATGATGGGGGACAAACCAAGGTGGAAGTTAGACGATGCTAAATTTGGCAAAAGGAGAAGACTTATGTGTGTGTGTACATCGGAAGACTTGCTGAATCGGCTGAGGTTCCAGTTTCATGCCTCTGAGTTTGACAGAGAGAGAGAGAGAGACAGAGAGAGAGAGAGAGAGAGAGAGAGGGGGGGAGGGGGGAGAGGGGAAGACGGTCCCTAGCCAGTAATGTTCCCTAAAGGTGAACGGATGGGAGGAATACGGGAGGTGAAGGCAACAATGTCGAGGAAGGCAAAGTAAATGTACCTTTAGTTTATGGGACGAGCACAACCTTTTCCTGATGTCCTCATCAGCATCCACTGATTACAATTACATGTTGTAGCTCTGCAAATTAGGCTGTTAGCTGCAAGGATTTGTATTGATTTTTCTACGTTTCAGTCAGTCTTTAATTACCATCAGGGGTGAAAATAGTTTTAAATTCTTGGGGGAACTAGCTATTGAATTGATACAAAATGGAGCTGTATTTCCCTCAACCCACTGGGGTTGAGATGCCCATGCCATGAGATGCCATGAGACCTAAATTCTGAACATCATGGCATGGAGTGCATCCCAGTTTTCCATGTCTGGCATATAACCATTCATTTTAGCTTTTAAACTGGTTATATTGATCCTGTGTCCAGACAGAGGGATAATCAGTAGGCCTAGCATCATGACCTGTTTGTTCTGAAGATCCTGCAGCTTCCACTTCGTCTTCCTAACATGGCGCCTCCTCACCCTGACTCTCATACTGATAGGAGGAACCACAGAGCTCTGTTAAGTTAAAAGCACATCTTCTGAAGTTGGGATGTTTTTCCTCCAACAGGTTCCTCAAGAATCACCTCAAACCAGACGTTGGACTGGATTTTATTTCAATGTCATTTGTGAACGTTTAAGCCTCATTTTCAACAGTGGAGCTATAAAGGTTTTCATTTTGGAGAAAATCTCATCAACATCAATATTTCCACTAAATAAGAGGCAAAAAAAAAGTTTGATAGAGCTCAGACTCTGAGCTCAAAGCAAGATGCCAGAGAGTAATAAAACTTTTTTTAATTAGACAATTCATTTAATTTCACATAATTATCACGGTAGAAGCCTTTTGTTTGTTAAATACTTAGTGAAACATATTTACCGTGTTTGATGTTTGTTGTGAATGACGTTTACTCACAGACGAACGAGATAATTAGTCCAAGTTTGTCATTTATTGAACATTCAGGAAACTACAGCAGTTGTGATGCGCCACAGAAAAGGTAAACAAAGGTAAAATAGCCCGAACAGGTGATCAACTCAAAACCACTCGCACCTTTTTACTCTCTCTCTGTCTTTGTCATTTAAGCACACCCGTTGCCGCGGCAACCGCCTGCGCTCCGCAAGCCGAGCACATGTTACTTGAAAACATTTAGTTCGTTAAGATATTAGGTTTTCAGGCTTGATATTTATTTTTGCGATTATTAATAAGCGCTCCCCTGAACACAGCGGTGGTTGATTAGTTAATTTTAAACTCCTGCTCTGCTATTTTGGTAACCGGAACGCACAGAATTGCGCAACACCTTGTAGAAACAATAATTACTGAGGTTATTATTTTTGTTGGGTCATTCATTTTAACACTTTTTTTATTTATTTTTTGTGGTTGTTGCTGTTGTTCTTTCATAAAGTTACGAACGTTTTGGTAAGGAGTCAAAGGAGGACCGGCTGGCCTCAGCGCCCCGGCGGCGTTCAGTTTGTCACCTAATGCCGAAATCGACTCAAAACCTTCCGCGATCGACGTGTTGCACCGCTGCTCTAGCAAAGCACGAATAGTTCAGAAACAATCTGAAATGGGAAAAGAGCTATTTATTAACTGATTATCTCCAAAGAGGACTCTTTAACCATAAAGTATGATCTCTGTTTGAACTTATTCCCTTTAAACCCTAAAAATAACCTTTGTGCTGACCAGTCAAAACAAACAGAAAGCAATTTGCATGTGTGTGTCTGTTTCCTGGTCATGCCTTTCTATACACACCTGTGAAATGCTACCTGACTCTTAGCATGCAAAGCGTTTCTATTTATCTTCTCATACATAGGATGCTCCGATGTGCGTGCGTGTGTCTAATTTGTCTGCAATTTGTCTTTGTTGCATTTGAGCTTCAACACCCATCTCGCTGAGCAAAAAAGACAAGTTTATGTGTCAGCGGGAAGGTGTGCGCTAATGGACGTCTAAATGCTGCTGATGTTACGTTGCGTAGTTTAAGGGCCCTCAGGTCTCCTTACACCAATATTGGCTGGAAAGAAGTGGGGAGGGGATGTGATTTCTGCAAATCGCTTTGACAAGGACACTCATGCCTAGAGCGGGCGTCCTCTTTCGCCTCATCGAACACGCGCACACACACATACACACACATGCACACACGTTATTACAACATCCACACCTCAGCAGAATCGCAAGGGGAACAGTTGACTTGGTGGTGGGTAGTTTTGAACAAAATGTGCTTAAATACATTTAAAGAAACTACTTGAGAAAATACATTTCTAACATGTCTATACATTTCTTAACTATAAATGGACATGGATGTCATTAATTACAGGTCTTTTATGGTTTACTGGACCATACATGTCCAGGATGGGTCAATTGGGTAACACTTCATTTGACTGGTTGTGAGTAAGACTGTCATGACACTGTCATAAACATGACATAACACCTGTCATGAACATGAGGAAGTCTTCATGAATATTTATGACTGTTGTCATAAAGTGTCATTTGGTAAATCATGACACTTTTAAATACAAAGTTGACATTACTCAAAATGTCTTTGTTATGACAATTTGTCATTAGCCAGGAAATCATGATCTGACATAAATTAGTTATAAAAGTATTACTGATTAAACTAAAAAATTATGTAGCTTTATGTTATTAAAGTTAAAGTTTAATCAGTAATACTTTTATAACAAATTTATGTCAGATTGTGATTTTTTGGTTAATGTCAAGTTGTCATAATGAAAACATTTTGAATAATGTCAACTTTGTATTAAAAATGTCATTATTTACCGAATGACCCTTTATGACAATAGTCATAAATATTCATGAAGACTTACTCATGTTCATGACAGGTGTTATGTCATGTTTATGACAGTGTCATGACAGTCTTATTCACAACCCGTCAAATAAAGCGTTACCGTCAATTGTACCACAAACTTCATTGCATATTTAATCTTTCTTAGTTGAGTCAATTTAAATTGGTTAGCTTCTTGTCAAGGATGTGACTTTTAACCACAGCCCTACAATTTGTGGAGGGGTCAGGACAAGAGGAGGGTACTCCAGATGTAATCTAACAGTAGTTGTGCCATTTGAGTATAAGTAGAAGTCTGTGGCCCTTAGGTGAAATAAAATGGGTGAGGATGTTCATGAAGAATCCAAGAACCAAGCCTTCATTGATCTGAAAACTGCTGGAGCACTAGATGCCCATAGTGCTGGCCAAGAAAACAGACATGGCTAAGATCAAGGGACTTGATCTCATGAACAAGACGATTGACTGAAAGGGAAAAGGTGAAGATTTCAGATCTAAGAATACAATACCAGGTTTTGAGGTAATATTAGACCACAACCTTTTTCAAAGCCTTTAGGCCAGGGGTGGGCAATCCTGGTCCTGGAGGGCCAGTGTCCTGCAACTCTAAGATGTCACCCTGGTCCAACACACTTGAATCCAACAGCTGAATCACCTCCTAAGTGCAGTGAAGTTCTCCTGAGTCCTACTAACTACCTCATTTTTTGACTCAGTTGTGTTGAAGTAGAGATACATCTAAAAGTTGCAGGAGACCAGCCCTCGAGGCCTGGAGTTGCCCACCCCTGCTTTAGACCTTCCCTAAAAGCTGGGTCTGTCTTAGGAAACCAACCAGTTTATTGGAACTCAAACATTCTCCAAGAAGAGCGTTCAAAAATCCAGTCAGAATTATGCTGGATGTCATGGTAACGGGAATGATGATGGTGGGAGTTTGTCCTGTAATTGTGTCCTTGGGGAAGAAACTTAGCTGCCTTGCCCTTGTATGGTGGACAGAAGGCCTGGTCGTGCCAGTGCATGGCAGCAATCTGACAGACCATCAGTGTGTGAGTATATGTGTGAATGGGTAAATGACTGAAACGCTTTAGAATCCTCTAGTCTAGATAAAGTGCTATACAAGTACAGGCCACTTACTATTTATCATGTGGTTGAGGTGCAACTTACTAAACTCCTGCTAACTAGAACTATCCATAGAGGAAAAGATTGTTAGCCTGGCTTTTTGGGTTGTCCATCAGTTCTCCTGACCAAACCAAAGCGCCTGACATCGAGTCTTACCTCAAAGTCGTTGGCCTTGTTGTAGTGCATGTTGAGAGCCCTGAAGAGTTCTGCGTCCCGGCTCACCGTCAGGTCTTCAGCCACGGTTATGCCCTCATTGATGGCCTGACGGGCAAACTTCTCCATCTGGATATAGTAGAACTCTCTAAAGTTGCTGAACCACTTGATCAGCTGGGAGGTGATGCACCGATTGAACTGGGAGATAAAAAAAAAAGAAGAATGTTTACGATTTAATCAAATACATCAAGAAAATTTGGGAAAGGTGGCCTTTCCCAAAAATACTCATCAAAATTAAAAATATTCTCTGTAACTGCGGTCGAGGACCTCACTAGCCAGGCTTAAATACTTAAATACTATTAATAGGCTGGCTTATGCCTATGAACCAAATTTAAATAAAACTATCCAATGTTTTCTGCTGTATCATGTATCACATCATAACCCGATGTTTGCTTTTGTCCTCGTTTGCATGACAGCATGCCTTCATCTGAGCTGCTGAATGACTGCTTGCATTGATTATGGCAATCCATGAACTTGGGAATTTGCTTTTTGTCTGGCAACGTGGATTTTCCATGCAAATAATTTTCTTGTTTCGCAGTATGAAAAAAACCCCAACTCAAACATGTAACTAAATATTTTATTTATATATTTTTCTGAGTGTTGTTACATCTTTCTATGGGAAAGATGTAACAAGAGCCTATCACTGGCACCATAGCTCCACCACAGCAACTGCTCGGAGCCAACTATGACGGTTGTAGTCATCCACCACCACGCCTAACAGTAAGCATGAAACATTAAGTTTAACATCTAACATACTAAATGAGGCATGCAAAGTTTAAGATGGAGCTTTTTTTTTAATCTCTGAGTGTTTTCTGGTTCAGTGAATTTTCTAGGATGTTCTCTCCTCTCCTGGGAGGACTAGCAATTGTCTCAAATGGCTTTCATGTGTCTTACTGAAAAGTAACAGAGTTTATTGTTTTGAAATGTTCATATAAGTCTTGTCAGATTCATGGGCCACAACATTTTCTTCTCTACCAACATTGCTGGGTTCAAATTCCAATCTGAAGTCTATCCAAATGCAGGTCCATGTTCTCCCCTGAGATATGTGGCTTCTCTCTAGTACTTCCTCCCACAGTCCAAAAACATGACTGTTAGCTCCAGTCAGTTTGCCCTAACCCTAACACTGCATGGTCATTTGTCCTGTGACAGACTTTCAGGAGTTGTGTTTGGCCCTTTAGTTCAAGCGAAAGGAACTCTAAAGGCTGCAGCATACCAGTCATCTTGGTCTCTTCATGTTCCCACATGACTAATCACTGAGTGCAGAAATAAGGTCCATTATAAGAACCAAAGATGAGCAAAAGGTGTGTTCACACCAGGAAAGTCCTTTGGTCTGCTCATTTTGTCAAGACCAAAAAGCAGACTTTATTTTCTGCGTTTGCTTTCACATTATGCTTTTTGGAAATGAACAAAGCCACATGTAAGGCAATCATTGCTCCCATTGGAAAGAAATGACAGGGGAGGGACAGAGTGTAAAATGTCTAAATATCTAATTTATCACATTTTATAAAGCTCATTCGAGGGTTATTCTAGTAAGAGAAGTTGGGGCTTCATTTTGGCTTCATTATGTTGCTTAGATGTTTTTAATTCTGTAGAAAAGCTGCCATAAAGACAGAGAGAAAACAAACTGCTGACCAGCAGTCTCCAGAAAGAAGAGACACGGAGGAACACAGACTAAACTGCAAGGACTGAAGACTTTAATGCTATAGACTTCCACTATCTCCACTACTCAGATAAAACAGGAACGTTCTTTTTATAAGAAAAAAAAATTAAAGATTTTGTCAAGATTTGGTTCCGTTTTTTTGTTGTTGTTTTAGATCATTTAAATTAGTTCACATCAACTGTTAATTACTGGGCAGGCGTTTGACAACATTTTAGCCTTAAGTAGAAGCAAAATGTGTAGAAAAACAAACAGTGAAAATACATGTGTGTGTTTGTGTGTGTGTGCG